GCTTTCTCCAGTGAAAAAGTCATCTTGTCTGAATCAGGAGAGAAATATGCATGGATCAAGCACAAGTGAAAACAGTCCAAAACTGTTCTAAACAAATATGTTGGTGGATTTTGATCTGAGAGGGCAACAGGGGATGGACTTTTTCACTGGAGGAAGTGTTTTTATGGATTATGGACTGGTATGTGGCCACAGAGACCCATTTGTAAACATCTGTCCTTATTGAGAGGCTGTGTTTTGCAGATAGCGTGTCTCAGGACTGATCTCATAAAAGTACACAGGTGTGTGAGTCTGTCATCTGTTTAACACACAGCATGTTGCAGCTTCCACTCGCAGATGAAACAAACACCCAGATGTGTCACAGTCAAATGCTTTAAACCAGACGTTACTCTCTGCTGTGACTTCACTGATGATTAAGTGAAAGTTACGCCATTCAAGAGTTAAAGAGAGAGTTCACCAAAAATGGATATTTTGTCTTCTTTTACTCACCTTGATTTTGTTTCTAACCTGTATGACTTTGTTTGAAAGTCATTGGGCTCCAGAACATGCTTTACTTCAGCTGGCTTTTACTGTCTGAAGGCTAGAGAGTTTGTTCCTTTGCATTCAGCTGTTTTTCCTTGACGTTTGCGAGTGTAAGGCAGGCTCAGGCTTGTGCTGGACAAATAAAGGAGACCTAATGTTGGTGCTTTTAACACGTTCCCTTTGAAAGAGTGAGGTTCAATTAAAGAAGAAGAGAAGAGGTGATGATTTAGGAGCCTCGTTAGATTTTGCGGTCACACGTACGCACACAAAAACAGTCATTTACAGACCACTGTGCAGACGCTCAGTGTCATCTTATATCTTCCTTTATATGATGCTCTGCTTTGTATCTTCAACAAAGTATAAATGCCCCTGAATGGCATGAAAACAACACAAGCTGTGATTGGTAGCCAGTTATGATTATTGAGCAGAATAAGGGGCAAACAGGAACAAATCAGTCAAAATTTTGACTGCACTTATATTTATATTATTATATTTATGTATATTTGCCAGATAAATTGAAATATATAGTTTTTCACCAAGTCACAAAGGCTGCATTTATTTGATCAATATACAGTAAAAACGGTAATATTGTGAAATATTTTTTACAATTTAATATAACTGTTTTTTATTTTAACATTTTTAATAGCGATTAATCGCATGATTTCCCCCCCCTGCGATTAATCGCATTATGCACAAAATTCAATAATGAATTCAAAAGTAGTGTATTGTGCACTTTTTTCATTTAAAAGTGCTATATGAACAAAAGTCCAGTAACATTTGGTTTGCAAACACTTTAAACAAATAAAGCCCAGCTCACACTGTGCGATTTTGGCCACGATTTGGTCGTCGGAGACAAATTTTGAAAATCGTAAAAGATTCCTATAATCCTAGGCTAAAATCTGTCATCTTTGATCGTTGGTTTGACATGTTCAGACAGCCGATTAATGGCCTTTGCGATCAAATTTTACCTCAGACGAAATCCTGGCAGTGTCAGAAGATTTGCTGTACAGTCTTGCAATAGGATTTCTCCTACGACGAACGTTAAACTGTCTTCGTTTTTCAAGACAAGCCATGATCAGAATTAATACTAGAGATTTCTTATAACTGCCATAAACTCCAGCGCTCCCATCCTCCGCTCACGGAGTTCATATGATATGTTGTCTTTGCTATGATAAACACCGGTTGCGGCGTTGTTCTCATTTGGGTGTGTAGTGCTGCTTACACTATTCTTCTTGTGTAGTACTGCTAACACTATTCTTCTTGTGCAGTGCTGCTTACACTATTCTTCTTAAATACGTTTTAGTTTTTTAAATGGATTCCCTTTGTAACATTGTAAATGTATTTTACAGTTACTTTTCATCCGTTTAATGCGTCTTTGATGAAAAAAAGTATTGTATTCTGTTAAAAAGTTTGAAACAGCATGGCAATACGTTATCAGGGAGTTATCAGTGAGTGACATTCACTGCTGTCAATGAATCCGCGGCTGATCAGCTGCTGATTCATTGACAGTAGTGAACGTCACTCACTCTATCAGTTTGTGGTTTTTGGATGTGAACTGTGAATACTTTACTCATTCTTTTCCCAGAAGGCTGTGCCCTACTCATCCTTCATAGTGACTTCAGCATCCACACTGACACATCTCACGTTCTTCGGTGTATCCCACCCCAAATCTGCGGTGAACCTCCCCCCCCCCGCAGTCTCTCTCTAAACCCCTTCATGTGTTTTTTTAACGCTTATATTTTCTCACTCTTATACTCAAACCCACCAACTTTTCCTCCTCCCACTCATTCATGGACAGGTTCAGACGAAACGCCTGTTCCTTCTCATGTTGCTATCTACCTCCTCAGTTTTTAATTCCTTCTCCTGCTCAAAAGACCAGCTTATGTTGGTCAAGACTGGTTTATGCCGGTTAGTGCTGCTTTGGTGCTGGTACTGTATATCCGGTGAAGATGGTCAGTGTTGGTGTTTTTGCTGTTTGAAATATCCAGCATCTGAAATACAATGGTTGTTGTGTATGGTATCCTACAATAATGTGTGTGCAGTTCTTGGAAAGAATTAAAAATGAAGAAGCAGTTGAAAGTAAATTCATTCATGCTTTTTCCCCTATTTCTTTCAACTCATGCCTTAATTTCTACCAAGAATTGGTTAGTAAATATTTGCTTGCTGTCTTTAAGACAGCATTTGGACTCTCAGGTTTAATGCATAGATCAGATTTTTTTGACCATTTTCATTTTTTTTTCTCCCACCTGTTTACTTTCACACAACATGTCTTGTATTCGATATCTGTGTTTACATCAATCTCCCACTTAAACTAGAATTATTCCATCTCTATACGTGTTTAAACATAGATTTCCAGATATTGGATGTATAAACTACTGTTCAACAGTTTGGGACCAGTACGATTTTTTTTTTCGTGTTATTAAAAGATTCTCTTGAGAAAAAAGCCTCTTGCTCATCAAGGCTAGATTTATTTGAACAAAAATACAGTACTAAATTGCAATATCGTGAAATATTATTACAATGTAAAAGAACTGTTTTGCATTTTTAAATATTTTAAAATATCATTTATCCTTCAGAAATCATTCTAATATGCTGATTTTGTGCTTAAGAAACATATTTTATTATTATTAATGTTGAAAACAGTTGTGCTGCTTAATATTTTTGTGGAAACCGTGATACATATTCTTTTTCAGGATTCTTTGATGAATAGAAAGTTCAAAAGAACAGCATTTATTTGAAATATATATATTTTTGTAACAACATAAATGTCTCTGCTGCCACTTTTGTTCAATTGAATGCATCCTTGCTGAATACAAATATTAATTTATAAAAAAAAATATATATCTTTCCGAACCCAAACCTTTGAACTGCTTTGGGGAATTGAACCTATAACCTTGCCATCTCTTGCACCACTAGTTGAGCTACAAGAGCTTTCAATCCTTCTCAAGCACTTCCCACCCACTCCTTTCTTAAATGTAAGACCGATCTCACCAGCCACCTTCTCAATCCCCTTCTCCTCCCTTTACCTCAAGACTTTAACCATCCTGGTTCTTTTAATGGCTACTCACAGCTCTGTTTTAACCACTTCACCTCTCTGTAATAGCTGTGGTTCAGTTCTCCAGGGAGCCATCATCATCATCTCCCACTGAAATGGTAATCTGGTAACGCCGCGGGGCTGTGAATGGGTTCGAGTGCTGGGGAATCCCCGCAGCCAGACAGCTGATGAGAGCTCTCATGGTGGAACTTTTTAAATAAACATCCTTTACACTCAGTAAACTTCTAAAACCAAGTGCCTGTGACTGAAGACCACCTAACAGATGCTCTATTATTTGCTCTCAAGACTGGAATATGAGCTTCAACGCCTCTAATCATTGCATTAAAGCTTCCTCTGAAGTAGAATGCGTGCAATTACTTTTGTATTCATGCGTATGAACTCAAAGGAACTCATTTTAACAACTTCTCGCTGTTTCTACATGTTTTGCTAGGCTTAGTTGCATTATTACCAGTGTTTGCTAAGCTCACTATATACTTGTATTAATTAATAAACGTTTGTGTGACTTGCAGTGTTTTTATTGCTAACTAAACTAAAATTAAGCCAAAATTATTATTTTATTTATTTATTTGCTATTTAAAATAAAGCCAAAATGAAATATTAAATGAAAAACGTAAGCTTGAAAAACTTAAATATAATATAAAAATTATAAATGTTGCATGGCAACTAACTGAAATAAAATAATTTAAGCTGGAGTGCTCAAATTAAAGCTAAAACTGGAATAAAAGCAAATTAAAGTTAAATAGAAATATAAAAAAAAACTAATTAAAATGAGAAAAGCAAATAGCAAAATTACTAAAATGAAAATGTAAGCTTAAAAAACATAGAAAATTCTAAATGTTGCCTTAGCAACTAAATGAAATGGTTTAAGCTGAAGTGCTAAAATTACTAAAACTACACCTGAAATAAAAATAAATGAAATCTAAATAAAGGCATAACATAAATACAACTACTGATGCACTGACAGCACAACAGCAGCAGTGAATAAACACTGCCTACAACCGGCAGCAGTAACCGGAGAGGTGTATTGTGGGATGGAGTCAGGGGTCATGTGTAGTGACTGACACACTAGTGGCTCCTGAAACACAAAGAATGGAAGTGCATTATCAGGGTCATAAACTTGTAACACTTACGACACTCTTTGCTTTCACACAGGAACGGCTGTGCGGTTTTGTTTCTTGTTTGAGGGTGTGTGTCTCGTAAAGAGCAGAGCATGAGCATTTACTATTAGTTTGTTGTCTTTTGTATGTTAAACACGCGTGTTTCTGTGGATATGTGAAAATGTGGGTAGAAGCTTGTGATACAGTAGCATTGACATGGTCATGTCGCATTTGATCTGAATTCTATTGAACTGAATTCTGAATTTGGGTTTTTGTATTTCCAGTGATTAAATGAGAGATTAATCTAACATATCTCTTTTTTTCCGCAGTGACATATTTGATGCCATGTTCCCGGTCACACACATCGCTGGGGAGACAGTAATCCAGCAAGGTACAGTATGGAAAACCATGAGTTTTATATCATACATACAGCACATGTTTGCATCACTATATTAGTGAGAAAATCTCATAGACAATTTGTTCAACTAGTGAGTATTTTATTTTATTTATTATAATATTAATACAATCACTGTTAAAATGTATTATTATGCTAGAATAATTTAACAATTAAATCAAATGCTAAAAACATACAATCAAGATCATTTTTTCTCCCCTCAATCATTCCCTTTAAAGGCCAGTTGCGCTCGTGCCATGGCGGATTCGCTATTTACACGGCGGAATTTGCGAGAGCAAAGACTGAACGCGTCTCCAGAGAGGAAATGGAGCTGCTCGTGCGCGAGCAAATAGGTAGCCTAGATTCTGATACATGCAATGACTATCCATTATGACATGTAAGCATTTTTATATTTATGTAGCCTACACAATAATAATATTTTACATTGTAATCCTTTAATTCTTAATATTTGGCATGTTTGTGTGCTGCTGCGCGTCCCTGTGTGTAATAAGCAGAGTGTATGCGCGTTGTGGACCCGCCTATAGGCGCATATTACTACTTTAAATAACAAAAACATACTGCGCTATTGACTTTAGACCAGGTTTTAGTTGGTGCCTCAAAATAGCAACGCGCCAACAATGCGCCTGAACACACCTCGTTTTCAGACCAGCACGCCCATGGGCGCACAAATGGGCACAAATGCACAACGTGGTGCAGGACATGAAAATGATAACTGCATCGGGCTGAAAATAGCAAAAACCACTTGCGTCATGCCTGGCGCCGCATTGTGCCGAGTGTATGATAGGGCCCCATAATTTTATTTGTAATTTTTTTCTGGAGTCACAAAATTAACTGTAGTTAATTAATATATCAAGACTCTAAAATATATCAGTTTCTGTTAATAAAAATAAAAAAGTCACTGCCCACTGCCCTGGATTTTTTTTTTTTTTTTCTTGTTAATTTTATTTTTTAGTCTAATTTTATTTAATTAAATTTTTTATTTTTGTATTTTCTTTTTTCAGTTTATTTTTTCTTTTTTCTTTTATTTTCTTTTAGTTTAGTTTAGTTTAGTTTAGTTTACCAAGCTACAGACTAACCCAAACCTAATTCTGATCCTGAAAGAAAATAAGCATTTTTAGTATTACAAAAAAAAACATTATTTTATTCTTTTTTTTTTTTTTTTTGCTTTTGAAGATGATCCACAAACATCTCATGATGGAAGGATATCCAAAATTTAGCTAACTTCTGGGAAATAATTTTTACTACAGTCTAAATGAGCTACACTTCTGTTGTTCTAAATATTATAGTATTTTGGAACAAAATGGCACATAAAACCAGGCTTGTGTAGCTCAAGGTGTCTGTGGTCATGTAAACTCTACTTGTGTAGAGTACGTTTTTGGGCCTTAGAACATTTAATTCTATTTCATGTAATGTATTTAATGTTACATGACATTTATGCAGCGCACATACAGTGCAAAACACAAGAATGCAAACCAAAGAAATATCAAAAGAAAGATCTCTAAACTGAACAATTTTCACCAATAAATTGCTTGCAAATTTCGCAAATAATTGAGCTAAAGGTGCTATTTTGAAGTAGAAAGACTGAAATATCTCAAAGCATATGGAGACGGTAGCTGAAATCTCCAGAAGAAATGTGTCTCTAGAAAACATCTCAACTGTATTTGCAGTCGTCTGCAATGTGATCTCTATATAAACCCATACATTTCTCATTCAAATTCTTCAGAGACCAATGCTCTCCATCCTATTCTTTCCACATTCAGGCCTACAGTATGCCAGCAGTCACATTGTGACAAGGCTGAATGATGACACCTTCATGTTGAGCTATGGAAGAGCAATCATAAAGTCAAAACCAAGTACTCATACTAAGTTCACAAATGCATTGCAGATTGTTTTAGTTATGTAAGAAGGAACGGTGGGTGATGAGGGTTTTTTATACAGTCAAACAATGAGCTCTTTTTGGTTTCATGTGGAGTTGATAAGCGATAGAGAACAGTGATCTGCATGCACGTCTTGCACACTCTCTGTGCAATGCGATTCTTGAAGCAGAGTTTCGATGCATTTATCTAACATGGGCAGATTGCCCATAAAACTAGATCTAGGAATGTGCAAAGTTTTGTGTGTAGAAGTGTGCGTTTTGGTTCTCATCAAATATTTGACTGCACTCTGTGACTCAAGGATCTGTTAGCCAAAAAACAGAAACTTCAGAGCAGAGGTGATAAAAGACAGGAAGACAGGAACAATACTAAGAAAAATGAGCTGAACGGGTTGAAAGAGAGAGAGATACGGTGTGTAAGCCAATAGCGATCGGTGAGTGTGTTAAGATAAATTGCTGGTGTGATTTACGAGCGCTTAGTGTGTTTGGTGTTAATTAGCCCCGTGAACCCGTGTGAACTCTGCAGCGCACGGATCATGGGCTCTTTTAACTCTTTGGCATGCGCAAACACACACACGCTCGCTACCAGGATCCCAAACACCAATTTCAACACATACTCAGACATCAATGAGCCCCTGAACCTACAGAAATGCTTTATGTAAAGGCCTTTAACTTGGAAATGTTGATCGGGGCCCGTGGCTTCTGGCACTCCCAGCCGTCCATTAAAAACTCTCAAATGGGGTGTAGATGAAGAAGCCTGGGAATCGTTTAGACGACACCGCTCTGGGAGGTGCTGACGCTTTTAAAGTGGTGTGCCATCTTTTATCTTTGATACGCACCACTGTGTGTGTGTGTGTTCTTGGGAAACGGGGAGTCAGAAAGAGATGGAATCTGGGAACGAGATGGCATTATTTATCTTTTCCTCCTTTCCGTCCTGAATTTAAAGGTCCCATGAAATTAAAATGGGAGTTTTGTGGCTTTTAGGCTGTTTTTGTTAGCTGCGGGGTCATGTAGATGCTAATGCACACTTAAAAGGTTGACCAATTAACTTTTAGCAGATACTTTATAGTGATCTGCTCAAAAGTTTGGGGTAAGTCATTTTTTTAGTAAAGAAATTAAAACTTTTATTCAGCATGGATGCATTAAATTCACCAGAAGTGATAGTAGAGACTTTTACATTGTTACTAAAAAATTCTATTTCAAATAAATGCTGGTACTTTCTATTAATCAAGGAACCCTGAAAGAAAATACCCACAAAGCTTTTGATCAGTACAACTGCTTTGGACAATGATAATAATAAGAAATGAGGAATAAGAAACTTTTTCTCGTGGAGTGCCTCAAGGATCTGTCCTTGGTCCACTTCTATTCTTAATCTATATTCTTCCTCTGGGTCAGATCATCCGGCGCCATGGTCTAAATTTCCACAGTTACGCTGATGATACACAAATCTATTTTACCGTACAGCCCAATTCTGTTTCCCCCCCTTCTTTTACATCTTGCTTACATGATCTCAAAGTATGGATGGCACAACATTTCTTAAAGTTAAATAATGAAAAAAATTAATTTCTGTTAGTTGGCCCTAGATCCCTTGTCTCCTCCCAACCTGACTACTCCATTAACATTGACGGAGTTATAGTCCATCCCTCCTCCACTATACACAATCTTGGTATAATGTTTTATTCTAGTCTACGTTTTGAATCCCACATCAATCAGCTTGTCAAATACTGTTTTTTCACCTTCGTAATATTGTCCGCCTACGAGCATCTTTAAAATTCAAAGGTGCTGAAACTGTGGTTCATGCGTTTATCACGTCGCATCTGGATTACTGTAACTCCTTGTTTTATGGCCTACCAAACAAAGTCATTAATCGCTTGCAGCTTATCCAAAATTCAGCTGCTCATGTTCTTACATTTACCAAAAAAAGATGCCCACATCACTCCGGTTTTACAGCAATTACATTGGCTCCCTGTCACCTATCGTATTCAGTTTAAGATTCTTGTTTTAGTTTTTAAGGCCCATCATGGGTTAGCACCTTCTTACCTTTCTGAATCAATTCTCCCCTATGTCCCTGCCCGTACTTTGAGATCGAGCTCTGAAAATTAGCTTGCAGTACCCAAATTCCGGCTATCTAGTGTGGGTGGTAGGGCTTTCTGCATTTCCGCTGCCAAGCTCTGGAATAAACTACCACAAGATCTCCGTGTTATCTCTTCACTCCAGACCTTTAAAACTGCTCTCAAAACTCACTTAATTTCAATGTTTCTTAATTGATTGCCTGCTTAATTTTCTGTTCTATGCTTGTTTTGTAACTTATCTTGTATATTGCATATTATTTCACCTCTGTCTGCTGTTTGGCTGTTTATTACTATGTTATTTACCTTATGTAAAGTGTCCTTGGGTGTTTGAAAGGCGCTATATAAATAAAACGTATTATTATTATTATTATTAATAAATGTTTCTTGAGCAGCAAATCAGCATATTAGACTGATTTCTGAAGGATCATGTGACACTGAAGACTGAAAATTCAGCTTTGCATCACAGAAATAAGTTCGATTTTAAAATATATTTGAATAGAAAACATTCATTTCTAATAAAATAAATACAGCCTAGGTGAGCACAAAAGACTTCTTTTAAAAACATTTTATCTTACCGACCCCAAACTTTTGAATGGTAGTGTATGTTCAATATTTTATGTCGATTTTCACAACTGAGCAGAGAAACAAGGAAAAGGAAGAAGGAAAGAGTGCTATTTATCGGTAGTCTTTTTCCTGAAGTTGGTTGATTGGAATAAACTCACAGTTTTCTCTGGTTTCTTTCTCAGGTGATGAAGGAGACAACTTTTATGTGATTGATCAAGGAGAAGTTGACGTGAGTTCAGTATTTCATACCTGTTTCTACAGTCAAATGCACACATGTGCTGTGGTATATGCAACTTATCACCATAAAGTCATGAAACCAACTTCATTAAGATCTGGGAAAGCAAAGAAACATGTCTACATCTGCAATATATTCATCAGTATAGCAAGTGTGATAGGGTGAATCTTATGAAACCTTTAGGTTATGTGTTACCTCTGTGTTGCCCGTGAGAAATGTACACCTTTTTTTTTTTTAGAACCATGAAACTTTTTTTTCATGACAATTAAGCCCCACATTATTCTTACTACTGTGAAAAAAAAATCGTATTACTGTAAATAAATAAATATGTGCCTGTCCTGTATGATACAAATCTTATCCACTGACCTTTTTTAACACTATAAAAAGTGGAACACTTACTGTCATTGTTTTACCTTTCCAAAAGATGACATGGATAAAGTTCAAGTGAAATGATGTGTCGTAAATCTCCACAGAGAATCCACTTCCCACGTTTTGTTTTAAAGAGAAGATAAGATGCTTTAAAATAGATTTTCTTTGTAAATGCTCTCTCTCTCAGAAGTTGTCTTTATCATCCTGGGAATCTGTAGCATATTCCACCCCCCTTTTTTTGTTTCTGTAGTAAATAGGATTGTTTAGTTTAAAGTGGCCTTTTCCACACTTTTCTAGCATTTTATTTTTTTTCCCCCCCAGAGTCCATTAATAATGGCAGTCATGGCTTCCTGAACTGTTAATGGTCATAGTTTAGTTTTTATGAGCATTTTCCACGCTCTCTGTTACTCTTCAAACAGTTTATGCTACTGTAACTTTAAGATTATATGTAAATGATTACTTTACATGTGAAACAACTAACAACCACATGCCAAGTTGCTGGATAGTGAACAGTACATGAATGAATGAATATTAATATATGCTACTGTTCAAAGGTTTAGAGTTGATACGTTTTAACAGAAGTCTCTTATGTTCACCAAGGCTGCATTTTTGATTAGTAAAAACGGTAATATTGTGAAATATGTGTATTATTTAAAATAGCTGTTTTGTATTTTAATATAATTTAAAATGTCATTTATTCCTGTTGTTAAAGCTGAATTTTCAGCATCATTACTCCAGTCTTCAGTGTCACATGATCCTTCAGAAATCATACTAATATGCTGAATTTGCTGCTCAAGAAACATTTCTTATTATTATCAATGTTGAAAACAGTTGTGCTGCTTGTTACACATTCTTTCTGGATTCTTTGATAAATAGAAAGACTTAAAAAAAAGAAAAGAAAAAGAAAGTAAGTCATAAGAAAGTCTTTACTGTGACTTTTGATATATTTAATACATTCTTGCTGAATAAAAATACTAGTTTCCTTGAAAAAATCTTACTGACATCAAACAGTATAGAGCATAAATGTGAGTAGTCATATGGTAATGTGCTCATGCTTGTGACATCATAACATTGGCGATTTCTGATTGGTCCATTTTTGAATCTAGAGATTTTAGAGTATGTCTACATGATTCATCTAGCTTTATTTTATTTTATTTTATTTTAAAAGAGCAAGAAAGCCCTGCTGATCTCAATGTTCTTAATGTTATTAGTAGTCTTGTTTGTTCTGAGTCTGTTCTCCTCGTGTATGTGCTCAGTGATCCGCTGTGTGATATATCGGTGCTAATATTTCTCCTCCGCTCTGGACGATCTGGACGAGCTCTGAAGGCACGTTGAGTCAGCGCTGGGTCACTGCCACATCAGATTGCGGCGTATCGAGCTCTTGGGTCAGAGCCTGCGCACTGAGACCAGCAGAGTCCTGCTCGCTCCATCCACCGTTCACCATGCTAATGCTGTCAAACACATGCAAAATACAGACATTAACCCGTCTGCTCATGTGTGTAAGTGAGAACGCACAGCTCCATAAAGCTCCCAGACACATGCTATCGCGCAGGAATGCATCTCCAATGCTACGGTGATGTCTCTCATTAGCAGAAAGGATAAATCTGCTGTGACTTTGGAGCACATAGTACTGCATACTAATTGGGAAAGGTGGAATTCATTAACGCGCACACACTCTCGTGAAGAAAACATGCACTTTTAGTCACTTGAAGTAATATTTGCCATTATTTTTATGGAAGTTGTTCCAATAAAATTACTTAAAGGAACAGTTCATCCAAAAATGATTTTTTTTTATTGTTTCCTCACAAAAACTTACACAAAAGAAGATATTTTGGAGAATGTGGATAACCAAACTGCTGGTAGCCATTGACTTCATTATGGAAAAAATACTATGGAAGTCAATGGCTTTTGGCAACTGTTTGATTGCCAATATTTTAAAATGTATTCAGATAGAAAACAATTATTTTTAATTGTAATAATATTTCATAATACTTAAAAAAAAAAAACTTCTTTCAAAAATATGCATTTTTCAATAAAAAATCAATTAGAAATAAAATATATTTTATTATACATTTAATATTATTATATTATACTATATTATATTAAATACAATCATAATTGACTCAGAAGTATAAAATTAATGTTCTTTTTAGCAGCATCATATGACCCCTTTAAATAAATGCGGCATAGGTGAATTTTGTTTTCAAAAATCTATTTTATTTTTTATGCAAATTCGATTTTAATTCTACATTGCAGCAGTAAAATAATTTTGGCGATCTTGGTACATAATGGTCATGAAAATTTAAATAGTCCTAAAAATGCCCTGATTAATCATTATTCCAATCATGAATATTCTGTTTAATTCAGAAGTATTATGGAAGTCAAATGCATTGTCAAAGCTGTTGTCTTCAATTAATCATATAAGTTATGCATATTCATGTGCATTATAAACAGAAATATGCAATGATGCAAACATGGCTGTTAATAAAATTAAGAATTAGTGCTGTCAAACGATTAATCGCGATTAATCGCATCCAAAATAAAAGTTTTTGTTTACATAATATATGTGTGTGTACTGTGTATATTTATTTTGTATATATAAAGACACACACATACAGTATATATTTTGAAAATATATATAACTCTAGCACTCTCTATTCTAATTCTATTCTTTAAAAAAACTTGCCCCTTTTAGACTTCCACTCTATTCATTTACTAACTGTTTTTTTCTTTAAAAAAAAATTAACACAACTAACATAGCTTCTCTATTCTTTTTGTATGCTATCTGTTTTCTTTTTATTTATTATACAATTAACAAAAGCAAAAAAAGGCCTCTAACACTAGCTTGCTCTATTCTTTTTCTTTTCTGTCTGTTTTCTTTTTATTTATTATACAATTAACAAAAGCAAAAAAAGGCCTCTAACACTAGCTTGCTCTATTCTTTTTCTTTTCTGTCTGTTTTCTTTTTATTTATTATACAATTAACAAAAGCAAAAAAAGGCCTCTAACACTAGCTTGCTCTATTCTTTTTCTTTTCTGTCTGTTTTCTTTTTATTTATTATACAATTAACAAAAGCAAAAAAAGGCCTCTAACACTAGCTTGCTCTATTCTTTTTCTTTTCTGTCTGTTTTCTTTTTATTTATTATATAATTAAAAAACCCTTGCTACGTGTACTGCGTTAAGCTAACTGAGACTTGTTATAGCACTTGCGTATCATTGCTCTTTTGTTGATTTTGATTGCTTTCATTGTCCTCATTTGTAAGTCGCCTTGAATAAAAGCATCTGCTAAATTACTAAATGTAAATAAACATACACAGTATACACGCATATATTATATAAACAAAAACTTTAATTTTGGATGCGATTAATCGCGATTAATCGTTTGACAGCACTATTAAGGATATTAGGAAACATGACAAATTATGTAGACATACTCTAAAATTTCTAGATTCAAAAATGGACCAATCAAAAGAAGATATTTTAAAGAATGTGGTTAACCAAACTGCTGGTAGCCATTGACTTCCATATAGAAAAAAATACGATGGAAGTCAGTGGCTACCGACAACTGTTTGATCAAAATACAAACTCATACGGGTTTGGAGCGACATGAGGGTGAGTAATTGATGACAAAACTTTCATATTTGGGTGAACTATCCCTTTAATATGCGACAGAAGGCTTATTGCAAGAATAGTAAGCACACTTTCTCACCTTAAGTGACATGTTGGCCGGCTCTAAGGAGGGCCGGACAGAAGATGAGCGTTTATTTCTGCCCCATGTGTTAGTTTTTTTTTATCTCTCCTCATAAAATCAACAAGTGGATTGTGTGTCCACAGGTGAAACTGACCCAGCCTCTCCTCGCGTTTCTCTGTGTGTGTGGCTGTTGAAAATTACAGGGACATTCCATAGGCGTAATGGTTTTTATACTGTACAAACTGTATTTTCTATTGCCCCCTACACCAACCCTACCCCTAAACCTACCCCTCACAGGAAACTGCTGGCAATTTTAGAATTTCATAAAACACCGTATTGTATGTTTTTTAAGCCTTTTGTATTACGGGGACACAGGAAGTGTCCTCATAAACCATGTTTACGTTGTAGTACCCATGTCATTATACACATTTGTGTCCTCATAAACCATATATACCAGTACGCACGCACACACACACACACACACACACACTGTGTTTTGTGAAAGGAGAGACAGCCTGTCAGATTGCAGCTATGCTGAGCTGCTCTTAATTAAACCAATAAATTATTGTGTGTGTGGCTGCAGTCAATTAGAGATAAGTCAGTAATTCAAAAAGCTGTTAAAATGTGTCATATTCCACGTCCACACTGAGCATAAAATCCTCATGGTGTGTCATAATGTGTGTGCAAATATACCTGGACAGTATAGAAAAATGTATATATCTTAATATTTTTCAGCTTTTTGATGTTATTTGATGGATATCTTATTCAATCTGAAATCTGTTTTTCCCAATCAAAGAAAATCTTACTTTTTTATTATTTTACTTCTTGATTTAACATGTTCAACGTACGTCTTGAAAGGCTTTTTGATTAAAATGATGATTGAAAAAATAATAAAAACAATGTGTGTATATATTTCATTATTATTTATTATTTTAATATTATATGATAATTTTCACATTTAATGAGAATTTTAATAATTGTAAAAATAATAATAATAATAATAAGTATTCTACTTCTTGATTTAACATTTTTAACATACAGTCTGAAAGGCTTTTGGACTGAAGTGATGAGTAAAAAAATAATATTTATGTATTTATTTATTTTTCATATATATATAATATATTATATATATTTAATTCTATAATACTGTATATTAAATATATTTTTCAGATTACATTAATGAGAATTTTAATGATTGTAAACAATCTATTCTTGAAAAGTAATTTATGGTAATTGTAATAGAAGATATATTATAATGAGAATAAGATTTTTTAATAAACATATTATTTATTTAAATATGATATTTATTTTTATGTATTAATTTTTTTTTTTACTTTGATCCATTTTCATTTAATTTAAGTTGTTTTTAAATTTTTATTTATTTTTTATTTTAATTTTTTAATTATTCTTATTCTTATTCTCCAATTTATAATACTCAATATATTATAATTATTCAAAATATTGCCTAGACTAACTTATAAGGAAAACACACCGTATTTTGGTCAGTTATTTGAGGAGACATTTATGCACATAAATATGCACTAGAATGTGCCTCATGTTTCTCTATCAGAAGTGTTTGAGTTCACATTTTATACGCGTGGCCTTTCTCAATTGCTCTAGTAAAGAGATCCCCAGCGAGTCTGTCTACAGGAAACATATACTGTTTATTTGGGAAATGTGGGTGAACTAATCCATTAAGCTTGACCAGCACTTGCCAGTATGCTGTAGATCACGATGTCATGCTTCACTTCAGTGTCTGCAGGCCATCTTAGATGTTCTGATGTTTTTGTATCTTCTTCTCAAACACCAGAGGTGGAGAGGTCGCTGACCTCGTAAGAGAGAAGAGCTTCACGGTCAGTCAGTGGCTGGACATTTGCGTATACGTTACGTTGTCTTGGATTTGAAGGTGGTTTAGTGAATAAAGTTTTACAGTCCATCTCAGAGGAACATTTTGACTCAGATGTTTCTCCTAAAATGAAATGGACTCAATTGTTGACATGCAGTAAGAGAAATAAACATCTGAGGAACTCACATGAGATGACTTAAATCTGAGAACACAGAGACTTCATTTAGGGTGCTTTCACACTAGCACTTTTGGTGCGCACCCGGGTTCGATTGACGTCAGAGTTCGGGTTGTTTGGATGATGTGAACGCTGTCTTCCGAACTCGGGTGCGCCCCCGCGAACCGTACCCGAGTCCACTTAAAAAGGGTGGTCTGGGGTACGGATCATGTGAACTCCGGTACGGTTCGCTGCTGATGTGAACGCAATCGTACCAAATCACGGAAGTGAACCGCTATTAATGACGTATTATTTGATAAAAATGTGTGTTTGTGTGTGTCGGGGGCGCTATTAGGGTTGCAAAAAGGTGGCAAATTTCCAGTAAATTTCGGAAACATTCCAGGATTTTTTGGGAATATTCCAGGGATTTTTGGAAATTTGCCGGAAATTTTCCACCCCTTTGCAACCCTAGGCGCTATACGCATCTCCTTAATGAGTCTGATCAAAAACACATGCGAGGAAGACGCAGAAACGAGCAATCTCGTATATATGCATATGCATGTGAAATGTCGATCCAGGAAGTGGTTCAGGACTGTGAAGCTTTGGGGGTGTTGATGGATCATCCTACTGAATATGATCCAGATGTAGTATTTGATAAAAACGTGATTTTCTCTGCTTTTTGCTCAAAATGTTGCTTTTTTTTATAAAACTTACCTACATTCAAGTGTTGATAAAAAAGAATGCTTGAAGCTAGAATAAAACTGATGTTTTTGTTTAAAAGTAGAGGCTCTGTTCTTTATTTTTGATGTATTGCATGTTCAGATAATCATAAAACAAAGTATTGTGGGGGTCATGAACTTTTAGTGAAAATCAGCAAAAATGCTGGCGGTGGCTGTCAACTTTTTCATAAACGCTGGCGGGGAAAGAGTTAAAATTGTGTTTTAAGAGATTTAGGGTGCTTTCGCACTAGCACTTTTGGTGCGCACCCGGGTTCGATTGACGTCAGAGTTCGGTTCTTTTGGATGATGTGAACGCTGTCTTCCGAACTCGGGTGCGCACCCGCGAACCGTACCCGAGTCCGCTTCAAAAGGGTGGTCTGGGGTACGGTTCAAGTGAACTCTGGTACGGTTCGCTGCTGATGTGAACGCAATCGTACCAAATCGCGGAAGTGAACCGCTATTAATGACGTATTATTTGATAAAAATGTGTGTTTGTGTGTGTGTTTCACTCACTGAGCGTGACTGATGCGCTGCAAACAGTGAGCTGTATATCTCATTTCTGTTCGCCTTCAGCGTTCTTTAGAGCATTTGCAGTACATTCGTAAGGCAGACGTAAGTGCCGTTATGTACCGAAGCTTTGTAAACAAAACGAACAGTTCAAAAACGTAAATATATAAAAGTGCAGAGAGCAATGTTATGCATTTGCCGCCTTCTCCTGCGCCGTCGTTACTAAGCAACGGGGTAAACAGCTGCTGGCTTGATGACGCAAACGAACCGCGGTTCGGACCCAAATAAATTAATATGAACGCAGTCCAGCGGGGGCTGGGGGAGCAATC